AGATAGGTAAAAATTTTGTTCTACGGAAATAAGTTCCTAGTAAAGATCTATGTACATGCAAAATTTCAGCTTTCTATCTTCAAAGGTGTAGAAGTTTTGTAAACAGGCACACGGACAGACGGACGGACGGACGGACGGACAGACGGACAGAGTGAAACTAATAAGCACTTCTTTTCAAAAATTTTTTGGAAAAGTGCTAAAAATGGGAACAATTTTTTACTAAAATTCACTAACGTATGAAAATGAAATTTGCATATTGCATATTTTTGGGAGGAATAATTAAAATAGACATTATAACTAAGATCAGGGATTCTTTTTCTATTTTATTAGAAATGTGCTTGAAATTATACTAAAAAGAACCTGATTTCATTTAATAATGAAAAATTGTAGGGATACATTGTAAGTTTTCCTTTCTTTACTGGCAGCAACGTTTAAATTTTCTCTATATATATATAAGAGCATAATTACTCGAAGATGGTGCCATTAAACAATTTTGTTGTTACTTTATCCTATTGGTAAATTATTTACTATGTACAGATTATCAAACACTTCATTTTCTATTCCTATGTATAATCCCTCTAACTTTAACTTTACAAGTTAAGAAATATTAGAGTTGAGACTTTGTTGCATCTAAAAATTTTATTTATATATTCTATAAACTTTTATAATATTTAATATAATGACGAAGAATATATACGTATAATAAAATTTTCATAATAATTAATAATTGCCGATAAATTATTTGACATTATTAACATTGAATTTTAAAGAAAATCATTATTTTCACTTTGTATATATATATATATATATAAATATACTATGCGTAAACATTTTAAGTCCTTATACTTTTTAATTGAAAAGCAGTTTCCTCCTTTTTTCCTCATTTTTCGGAAATAATTATAAAGAAAAAAAAATTTTTGTTCTGTTCTTTCAAAAGTTTTCAACAATATTTCTTAAAGTTTATCTTTCTTAACATAATAATTCTAAATAAAAAGAAGGGAATCCTTTCAATGACATACATACTTATATACATATAATGTGCCTGTACATATAATCATAACATATTATGGTACATTGTAAATTATATTTTAGATGTGTAGAAAATTTAAAGAGATATTTATTGAATCCTAGTAGTTATTACAAATACTCACTTCATAAAAATTTATTTAGACTCGATAAAATTATAGTTATAACTTGCATATATACTTATTTATTTTGCATATATAAATGTGTAATGATGTACGCCCCCATAAATTACATTATAATATTAAAGTTTGCAAGGATTTATTATGTACACACAATATTTATACGTATATAGAAAACAGACTGAAAATTTTACAGTTAATTTTGTTTATTGTATTGTGTTACACTATATTAAGTAAGTAATTCTTGTTATATGTCTTATTTAGTTATCACTTTCAAAGCCCTCCTCTATCTTCTGTCATAATGAAATTTAAAAAATTATTTTTCAGCAAATATTTGTAAAGTTTTTGTACACGAAATAAAAAAATCATATGAAAAGTGACTAAGTTGTTAACGTTTAAAATTATTAGAGAGTCGAATAAGTTGAATTTGAAAATATCGGGTTAATGATGCTTCCTGAACGCTGGGGCGTTTTGCTTTTGATGAATATATAACATGAGATTATTTTATTTCTTTGAAAATTTCATGAGCACATTGGATCATGAGCATTATGAAATATAATTTGTCTTTGTATCAGTAAAATGACAAAGTTGCACGAGATGGAAAAAATTTTTTATAAAAACTTATTTTAAATTTCAAAATTGGTATACTCTAATCCAAAATACCTCTAAAAATACGAATTATGACTTTTTGGAAAGGTGTTGTTTCTGTATTCCAATTTTCATCGTAAATATGATACTGACACATCTGAATCATAAAAGCAGCTTAATTATCGTATCCTTAAATAGATAAATTCACAATAAACAAAAGGTTTGTAAAATAATACTGTTCCGATGTAAAATTGAAAATACTTTGCTTTTAAGTAACCAATTTACTAGCTATTTAAAATACGTACTTTTATTAATATACCGAACATTTCAGATAAGAGATAATAAGTGAAAAGAAGCGCTAACATAATAGATGAGTTGAACGATCAAGTAAGTGAGTTATGCTAAATAGTTATAAAGTGGGATAGTTTTCTATCTTGAAGGGTGTAGAAGTTTTTTTACTAATTGTTTTTCACAATAACGGGTAAAAGCTTAATCTAAACGTTAAAATTTGTTCATCTGAAATTGAGACACATGAGTCTATAGGCCGAAATTTCAGTTAAAATAGTTATTTCATTTTTCTCACCACGTACAAATGCATTTTCGTTAGCAATACGGCATGTAACTTTTGATTGGGTTAAAATACTCTTTTTGTTATAAGCATTTAAAATGAAAATTATAATAAAACAGGAATAGGTAGAGTCAACCGTGGCAACTCTGTGATATCCGTACGAATGAATGATTTCAAGTGCTGCGTGTTAATTGACACACTCTCCCATATATGGTGTTGGTTTTTTATTCGTTTATGCAAAATATCAGCACACTAATTTCCACAGTTTTCATAACACATATACGATCAAACGATTTCCGAAGTTGTATGGCAGCCACAATCACAAGTCAAGAAATTTTAACTAGTTTTATCAAATATCAGAGCTCTAATAAAATATTTGCACGAGCGAAATTTTGATATTATAATTTCAATAATTTCTGAGATAGAGCCAAATAGTTTTTGAAGTTGTAGGGCATCTATCCAAACCACTGTCTCGATAACATCTAATATAGGGTTCTGGCATTTGCTATTATAAATCATTTGAGAAACAGACTTACGGACGGATGGACAGATTTTGCTAAATCGACCCAGAATTCAACGCTAATCAAAAACATGCAGTTATGTCTATATCTCAGACGATTGTTTCTTAGCATTACAAACGGTAAGACAAATTTAGTAAACTCTTCGAACATACTCTTCGTTCGTATGGATATAACAAAAGAGGAAGATTTGTAAGATCGATGATTATTTTGTCACTGTCAACATTACACTTTTTATTTTATTTCCAAAAATAGTGAATTTATTTCACACGCGTTACAAAATTCATAAATAAATATGATGCAGAAAAAGAAAAACAAAATGGAAGATCATAAGAATAGTTGAAAGAAAAGTAGTACATTACCCTAAAGAGAGTATAAGAGCCATACATAGTGATAAAACTTATTATTACTACGTACATACGCTTGCATTTATAAATATTTAAAGAAGAAGAACAAAAAAAAAGGAAAAAAAAAAACTTTTCCATACTTTATTACACAGTTTTCTTGCTTATTTCCTTGAATTCCCCACATCTTGCATTTTATTTTATTTTTTTTTTTTAATTTTTCCTTCTTTTTTTTCCCCTTTTTTATCCTTTCAACCATTTCTTTCTTCATTTTCATTTCGTGGTGATGTGATTTAAGTGTTTACATTAAGTCAATGAAAGTATTTATATGCATTCCTCTGATATTTAAACGTGTATTATATAGTGTACAAATACATACATACACACCTATATATGAACAAAATAATTCTATAATTATGACGTACATAATATGTGTATATGTAAAATGTGTATTTCATATGGATTCATTTGAGATTTATTATAATATTTTTGATATGTTAAAAATATGTTAAAGTGAACAATAAAAAAAAAATATAGCATAAATTCTAGTTTAGGTGAGAATTGGATTCACGTGCCAAATTGGTTATTATTAATGGCAAAGAATTTCAGTGCAGAGTTCTAGTTTTCCAATATTGAAAGGAATTGAATTCATTATTTTACAGTTTCGGAAGATAAGAAGAAGGATAATATTTCTAAATTTTTGAAACGAAAAGCAGTAGAGTTTTTGGTTCGATAGTATGAATTCATGATTTCGGATAAAATTGAATTCGAATAACACCGACATTTTTAAGCTAAGTCAAGTCAATTTTCTCATCTTTGAGACGCTGGATCTGTTTAGAATATGACTGGAATGACAGTGTGTATAATTACGAGACGGTAATTGCATTAAGTGTGTATGTACGAGACGGTAATTGCAGTTTGTCACAAGGAACAACAAGAGTATGACATACAATACATCAAATAATTCAACTATAGCAAAATATTGTACTGTTTTTAATAACTATACATTGTAAAACCTAAAACAGTTTCTAATAATCAGAACCAAAATCATACTATATTGATTAAAAATAATTTGCTTGCATAGATTTAGGATTTTAATTGTAACACACCAATAAACTTTTACGCGATTTTATTATACTTTGCCTAAAGTATAAGCGTACGTATACATATATGTGTGTACGTAGTGAGAATAATGTAAGTAAAGCAAAAAAGGTAATAAATTAAAAGTTATAATATTAAAATTAATAATAAAAATAAACTTAAATTGGAATTAGTGAATTATTGCGGGGAAGGGGGCGTAAAACTTTTCCTTTTAAGTTGAATTCAAATTTCCGTTTTTCTTGACAAACAACTTTAATTTACGTTCTTATTTTTATTTTCTAGTTTTTTCTTTTTGTTTCTTTCTTTTTTCAAAAAAAAGAATAAATTTGATGATGTTTTTTTGTTTTTGCTTTTTTATTTTGTTATTCAAGTGAGAAGTGGAAAATATTTTTAAAGTTTTTCATTTTTTTTTTTTTTTGTTTTCTGGGCATTGTGTTGAACAACTTATGTCTTGTTGTTGTTGAAAATTTTTGTCCTTATATTTAAATTGAAAAATTACTTGCCTTTGTTTTAGATAGGAATTAATTAAGATTTTGGTAGGCTACTTGAGTTTTGATAATTAAGAGAGAATATTATTCAAAATTAAGTTTCAAAAAACGCACACACATTTATTTACTCCTTTAAATTATGTAGAATATTAATGTATGTGAAAATATTGTAGTATTCACACGTATTATGTGTGATCTTTTATAATTTTTTTTTTTATAAAGAGTTTTTGCCTTGAAAAAATACTTACCTTGCATATGATGCATTCTAATATCATAAGGATCACCGTAACCATTAAAATCTCCATCATATTGTGTATGTCTACTGCTTCCTATTGTTATAAAATCATCTGTATAGATTTGATTACTTGTTGTATTTAATTCTAAAATTTTTTCAGTAGTATTTTCATATATGTTATAAATAGTTGCTTTACATGATAACTGTAAAAATAAGAATATATGTAGAGGGATTTTAGAATATCACTTGAAATTTGTTAAATTTAGTGTAGGAACTTATATGTATGTAGATAGCTATAAAAATATATAATAGATTTTATAAAATTTTAAAATTTAGGTATATTAAAAAAATTTAAAGGAGCTTGGCTGATTTTTGGAATGAGATTTTCTATTGGTTATCAAATTGTATTATTAACTGTTATACATAAACTTTATTTACAACGAAAACTATAGATTGTTCAGAATTACATATTTTTAATAGGTTATTTTTTAAATAGGTTTTTATTTTTTTAATAAGGTTTATTTAAAGAGATGCTATTTCAGAAATATTAGTGCGTATAATAGTTACCCAGAATGAACGCTAGGAAATCAGCTTTGCTTGGGTAAATATGAAAAGAGAAAATTATGGGTAAAAAATACTTTAAAATTTTAGAAATATTCACCAAAAAGATCAGCTTCATAACACGATTTTCAAATTTGACCTCATTTCTTATATACCCTTTTGATTAGTATGGAAAAATTATAGCTGTACGCAAAAGATAAGTACTTGGTATGAGATCAAGGGTATTTAGTATCAATATGTTCCATTAATTTTATTTTGCTGGAGAAAATTTTTGGCAATACTTTTGGATTGTTGCTCAGTGAAACTTTTTAATTTTAAAAATAATTATCACGTAAGCTAGATAGACATATTTTTAATATTATTTCTGTTGTGACTGCTTCAATTTGTATTTATAATATTACACTGGTACGGACAATTAAAACTTTTCTAGGATATGTATTAAATTTCATAATATTAATTAGACTACAATAACAATAATTATGACCATTTAACATTCTCCATATATAAAATTTTTGGAAAATATCCCACAGCATTATTAATTTAGATTACTTTCGTTGAAATATTTTTACATAAATGTTAGTTTACACTTAAATACCGCATTTAAAGCATGATAAAGAATTAAGTAATAAACAAATAACCAAATATTTATTCAGATATTTTGTTATTTTTATTATTCGAAATCGAGGTCAGGATGTATGATGATAAAAATCATGATAAAAAGGATTTTTTTTATTATTTGATAGCCAGATATAATTTACCCCCATATATAAGAATATTCTTTATAGAAATAGTTTCTAAAAGAAATATCTATATAGCTATTCACAATTTTCACAAATTTTCCTCAATTTAAATTGTTTTTCATATTCAAAAATTTATTTCAATAATAAAATTTTTTGTAATAAATTTTGTCCAAAAATTATTCCTTCAAATTTTCTTGACAAAAACGCTATACGTATACCTATATAAAAATAATAAAAAGAGAACACAAAAACAAAAAAAACTTAAAAAGTTGGTACTTACCCTAAGATTCTTATAGCGAAAATGTTTTGATTGTAAAACTAATTTAAGTCCTAAAACAGATGTCGTTGAATTTAATGTTGAATCACCGATAATATTATATCGTATAATTTCATGCGGTCGCAGCTATAAAACAAAAAGTAGAAAGGAAATATAATAAAAAAAAAGAAAAAAAAAAACAATTTTTTTAATGAATGAATATTTATGTTTGTATATATACATACACATACACATATATAATTTCATATAAAATTTATATTTATTATATTGTTATATAGATATTTATAAGAAATGTATATGAATTCCCGTAATATGTACAGATGTGAATGTGATACGCAATAATACAGTTAGGTGTAAAATTTATGGTATAAAATTGATGTTATTAAAGAAATAAGTATTTAGTTGTATAATAGTTTTTCTTTCTTAATAAAACCAGTACATATATACATAAAAATAAGTATATAGGTTATAAAATATAACAAAAGTTATATTCAAAATGATATTAATCGTAATAGTAGTAGACATTTTATTTTATATCATAGTACATTATTTAGATACATTAGGTAGGGTTGACGAAATCATATTATTCTTTTATACACATGGTTATGATTTATTTATATCGTTCCTTTTAATGATATGGTAAGGGTAGCTATGCAAATTCATTTCGGTGAATAGTTTTACATTTTTGTCCATAAATATGTTATACATAAAATAAAGATAAAATTTTTAATATTTAATTTTATAGATTTACTCTAATACAGCAAGGTTTTCATAAAGAATATACTAGTTCCGCTCAGCTATTCCACGGAATTTAAGTCGAATTATTAAAGAATATCCTTTAAATGGAATATAGTAAATATAAGCTAAGAAGTTTTTTAAAATTTTGAATGGCTTGAGTTTCGTACGTATATAATAAATAATTCACGAATATTATCTAAATAAGAAAATAATAAGTATGTCATTTTTAAATAAATCTTGCAACATCTGGAAACAACGTAAGCCTTTAGAAAATATTTGGTAAAATTAAAAATTCCATCAAAATGCAATCTCCTAAAGAGCAAGTATTATGAAGGTTTACTGAGTTATGATCTTATGAAATTTTTAGAACAATTTCAACATTTTTTTAGAAATATCAATTTTGTTCCATGTATTTGGTCCATAGGATATGCTACTAAAATTTTGTTTAATGTTAATAAAAATTGTTATATCGTTAGTTATTAACGGAGTAATTGTACATGTATTACCTGTTTCATAGTGTTGGATAACTTTTGTAAGCTCATATGCATAGAATGGAGCTTGAATGTAGAGGTTCGGAAAACATATCATAAATGACGAAACACATTTTGAAGAGGCGATTCTCATGATTTGAATAAGGTATTGTACCTCGATTTGACAGTATAACAGCACGTCCATCTCATGTGGCATAAATCAAATAGTTTAAAATTCAAAAACTACAAAAATTACCATTATACTAATAATTTTTCTTAATATTCGTACACCTACAAGATAGGTTTTAAATTTTATTTAGCTTAAACACAAAATTTCTGAATTGTATTTACAAACCAGTACAACTACTTGAAGCATGAAACTCAAGGTATAATAAAATTTGAAGCTCAAAAGAAATTTATTTTCCAAAAAAATTTTGAACAAAGTCGAAAAAATCTGAAAAAACCATTCATTTATTTTTCTTTTAATTTCCAATTCAGAATAGCTTATTAGTTATAAAGAATTTAAAATGTAGAAAAAAAGATTTCAGAAATAGTAGTGTGTTATTCCTTTCAATAAAATATTTTATATTAAATCCGATGTACTGTAATAAAAGAAGAATTCATGAAAGATCCGATATTATTTTATGAATAGATAAATAAATTTTTAAAAAATATTTTTACATCATATATAAATTTAATAGACTTCTACTCAAAAAAGGACGATTCTTTGAATGTTATCTCTTTTGTTAAAATAAATTCTTTTCTGTATAATAGCTTCAATATTATAAAAACTTTATTATTTATTTTATAATTTATAAAGGTGTGCATATATATTTTAGTATAGCTCTACAAAAACTATTACTTTATAACTTTTAAAATTTTTTATTTTTATGAAGGTCGTACATATATTTCTGTTTTGTGTATACCTTAAATACAGAGTTCATGAAAATATAAAGAAACAAATATAACACAGATTTTCTATATGTATTATATAGAAATCCTTTGAGAAGGAGTTTTGAAAGGAAACAAAATGTAAATATTCGCGGTTCATTCATGGTGGATCAAGATAATTATTTATTATTATGAGGTGCGTTATGGTATAGAACATTTCTTTTTAATACAATATCGAGTCACTTTAAAGGAGTACGAAAATTAAAATTAAAAATTATAAAAAACAAGATCGTACAGAGCTTAGTTTAATATAAATGTGAATATTAAGGAATTAAGGGATATTTTAGCTAGAATCCAATTTTTTTTCGATTCGTTGTATAAAAACATTACGTACGTTTCACAAAACGTTTTCGGAAATTTTTGTGAAAATGCAATTACTCGATTTTTGTTTTTTCTACTTCACATTTGGGCGGGATATAGCATGGGCACATGATATCGTAGATAGTTGGGCGACAAACCTATAGTAGAACTTAGTCGAATATAGAGCAAATATTTCAGAAATAAGCAATTTGGAGGAAAAAAATTTTTATAAAAATACATTGATAATAATTAAAACCCTCTTTCAATTGGGGTATCAAGAGCGAGGTACAGTACAAACATCATAACACGTTCTTATGAATCACTCATATCAAAATGCAAGCATGATTTCGCCTATTTATTTTTTCAAATGAATGTTAAATTATTTCTTCATTTTATTAATTAAACGTTCATTGATTTTTATTTCTAACTGTAATTAAATTTATATTCAACAGAATTTTCATAATAATTTATAATAAATAAAAAATAAATTTTAATTCCATACTCATTTAATAAAATTCAGAGATCAAAAAAAAAAAAAACGAAAAGCGAGAGTAAATATAAAAATTTTGTTGAAAAACAAAAATCACAATCATGAAACTTGAAAAATCATTAAAATCGTTTTTACAGTTATATTATTGTTGTAACTTTTACTGTTATTATTACTACTGACACGGCCGCCTGCCATTGAATTGAACTGACAACACAACACACGACAAAATACACTTTTTCTTTTTTGTTTGAATTTATGATTTTCTTCTTGTGTTCTGTCTTCGCTTTTTATGCTATAATGGAGATGGAAAAGTTCATAGCATGGCATTTCTGAAGCCTTTAATTAAAAAATTTTTCAATTCGGGTTTTTGTCGTTATTTAATTTATTTTATTATTATGTTTTTATATTTTATTTTATTTTGCGTTCGTTGTTATTATCTCTATACTTTTTTTTTTTTTCACTCGCTTTCTTTTTTTTTTCCGTAACGGTATATTGGAATGAGAGTATCGCCTGTCAAATGATTCCTTTTTAATGAATTTTCTTGCGTTTATTTTTTATATTTTTTCTTGTTTTATAATTTTGTATTTCTCTTTGTTGTTTCTCAACTATGTATATGTATATCTTTATTTTCATTCTCTGTTTCTCTCTTGTAGCTATATACTTTACTGTATAGTTTTTTTTTCTCCGTTGTATTTCATATTTCTATATGAATATACCTGTTATTATCTTTACAGTTATTTTATTTTTTTGTAGTGTAGATTTTAGACTGGTTTAATCTTTGACTTGATTATTCTTTAGTTAAACTGTTGTAATTTGCCCATTGTTATACCTGTTTTTTGTAATGAGTTTTTTTTTCTTTATAAATTCTCTTGGCGATTGGAGAATTTTCTTCAAGGATCATAATACCGGGCTTTTTTTTTTATATATAATCATATCAAAATAAATTAATCAAAGATTATTGTAGATTTGGTTTGAAATTTCAGTTAAAAAAAAAATTCAATTAGAAAAAAAATTTCATGATAATGAAATTATTCATAATTTATTAAAGTACATATTTATATGTAAATACGTAATATATACATTCTTATGTACGTACTTATCCATACTTATATAGAATTATTATAAATCTGGAGTAATTAACAAGTAACCAAGTATAGGTTACTTTTAATTAAATTTGTATTGAAAATTATTTTTTTTTTAGAGAAGAAAGCGATTATCGTAAATTTTTAAAATTTAAAAGTTACTAAGAGATTTTTCACTTGATATAAGAGTAATGTACTATGATTACTTCGGTCAATTTAGTCGTTTTGATATTCTTATTAATTATTACTATAATGGTAACGAGAATTAAAATTTCCAGATTATTCACTCATATTTTTTAATAGTTTCTAACTTGTAATCATATGAATCAAATTTTATAAATGAAGTTTTTAATTCCTTTGCTTTGAGTATAACAGAATTATGTATTTGATTTGAAGCTCATACGTTCTTAGTAAATCCCGACAATCTTGAAGAAAAATTAAAATTGTATATAAATTGGATTTTTATTTTGAGTATTCGGATAATCAAGTCATAAATATGTCAAAACAACAGTTCATATTTTGTAATTTTATATAAGGCGTTGGTTTATTTCGAAACAGTTTTGTCTGGTTGTATATCTGGGCAACGAAACTATTGGAATAATGTGACTTAGTGCTTTTGGCGTTTGATTAACATATAATGTATTTTATTTAAAATTATATACAATATAAAGGTGAAATAAAAATGTATAAACAGATTTTAGGTTATTACGTGAAGAATTTGGAACGCAAAAGTAAAAATTAAGAATTACAATACCTATGTGTCTGTATAATGATTCATTAAAATATACTCATAACATATATACTAAATACTATATACTATGATATACTCATATAGTATAATATACACATTACAGTACCAATAATATTTAAAATTCATATTTAATATAAGCTCAATAAAATAAATTTTAACTTACTGTATTATTATTAAGTAACCATGTTAAATTAGCCAATGGTTTACTGTTATCAACTGTACAATTAGCTAATAACATATTTCCAATACTGTAAATTTTATCATCTATATCAATTCTTGGAGGAATTTTTGGTAGATCTGTAAATGTAATAAAATTAACATTTAATTATACAAATATGTTATGTAAATATATACTTATAAATATTCATATAATATTTTTATACATACATAGTATAATGGTAAACAAAATTATATATGTATATAACTATAATGCGTATGCAATCTATATATCATAAAAGAAGACAATATTATAAGATGCGTAAGTATACACATACCCTAAGATTTGGCTGTAATATTACAATAAAAATTATAAGAACAACTATAAGAGCGAAAAATAAAAAGGAATATTAAAGGATAAAATTCAGCGAAGCGAATGTACATAGAAATATATTAAGAAAGATAAAGATGAACACCGAAAAGAGAAAAAGAGAAAGAAATAAATAACAAAAGGGAAAGATAGAGAATAAGATAAAGAGAAAAAATAAAACAACTAACCAAAAAATTATAACAAAAGCAAAAAAAAAATAATACAGAAAAGTTAAATATAATGTAGATGAAAGAGAAATAAAAGAAAGAGAAGAAAATGAGGAAAAATTTCGAATTGATTAATAGAGTGTAAATGAGATGTCAATTGGGGTAATTAACTGAATAATTATTGCCTATAATAATAATAATAACTGTTGAAAAGAAAGTAAGCGAAAATAAGAAAGAAAGAAAAAACCAAAAAAAACCGAAATGTAAAATAAGTAAAGAAATACACAAATTATAAAAAAAAAAGGAAAAAGAAAAGTAAAAATCGAAAAATAACAAAATGAAATAAATGAAATGAAATACAAAAACAAGTGTTTTAGGTCAGTTAAAATGAGAGAATAAATTATTGCTGGTTGTTAAAAATTAATTACGTTTTTTGGTCTTATTTACGAGTATTAAAATTTCGATAAGGGTACATCAACAATAGGTACAATACACACACACACACACTCCTGCATACACTTTTTTATTGTAAAATTTTAAATTTCATATAAAATTAAATATCCTGACAAGTATATCGCTATACTCTTATATTATAAAATAATACTCTTGTGTATGAATTAACAGTCGAAAATATGTATGTATATGTAATTGTACATCCAGATATATACTTAATACAATATAAATAAATTATTGGGCGAAAAGGAATTTTATTACTGTTAATAAGCGAATATTTTTTTTTTTATATTCGAATTTAAATTCGAAAGATTATAAAAGTGAAGTATTAAAGAATTGTAAATTTTATGAAGAGAAAAATTTAAAGCAAAAAAAAAGTACTAAAATGTTTTACGCACTTTACACTTTCTTTGCATTTAAATAAAATTTTTCTGTTTTAAAGGATTCTATGTAGGTATATAGGTTCTAAATATATACATATATTTAGATTAAGTGTAAGTAAAATTTTAAGGTCGAAGTAAAATTGTTTTTTGTTAATTTATATTCGAAATGTTAATTTGCATTTAGAGAAATTAAGAGTAATAATTTTTGTAATAATTTTTTGTAATAAAATTAAGGCCAAAATTTCGTAATTTTTAAAAATAAAATTTTGTAATTGAAATTATTTATTGTTAAGTCAAAATTATTATTGAGGCATAAATTTTATGTGGAATATTTAACGTAAACAGCCAGTAGAAAAAGTAACCAGGTTTTTGGTAAGATTTGAAACAAATTTAAAATAGAAAGGGGTCTTCAAATAAAAAGTAAAATCGCAAGGTGAATTTTAAATAGAATAATATTATATTTATTAAGTTTTTTATCAAAACCATGGTTTGTATATAGCAGACTATTTGCCTTAAACAACTGAAAAGTTTTTTTCGTATCTGCTTATAATAGCCTTTAATAGACCTGTAATATGTAAATACTTAGCTTAAAATAATGATATAATTTTATTGCATATTTTCGGGATGAGAACAAAAATTCTAAAAATCAATAATATATAACAATGGAAGTGTCATAGGTAGTAGGTACTGTCAATTGAGCCATTCTAGATGGGAAAGCATTTTGACCTTATATCTTTAGTTTCAAAAGAAATTAGAGTACCAGAAAATTGAAAAATTACTAATATTCTATGGTGATAGCTCATTCAGAGGAAAAATTATGTTAAAATGAAAAAACTATTTATTAATATAGAAACGGTCTATATAGAAACGGTTATAGAAGAAACAGAACATAGAAACGGTTAAGAATTTTAAATTGTTAAACAATAAATTCAAATCCTGAGCTTTTTTAGTGTAAAAAGAAGCAAGTGGCTAGTTAGTTTTCTTTAAATTTAAAGACAGTGAAAAATGGATCCAAATTTCATTCTAGAATGTTATTGTTATTGAACGACACAGCAACATTTTCATTGAGCAATATTAAATTATCATTTTTTAAAAACAAGGAGTTGAAATATTAACGAAAAAATGTTTTTTTTTTAGTATTCATTCACCAAAAGTCTGTTAAGTGATTACTAGGAATTAGATTTCCATAATTTACGTAAAATAACTTTCCTCTTCTTCCTTTTTCTTCTATATGTATAAAAAAAATAGAGATTAAGTAATTTTTTGTTTGGTTGTTACAAAAGAAGTTAAAAACAAGTAAAAACGTTTCAGTCGGTATAAACCGATTGAATTATACCCTGCACCTTTCGTTGTTGTATAGCAATTAATCAAACCTGTGAAACCATTCTGTAGAAACTTCACGGATATGTTTGACCTATAACAGACACACAACTTCCAAATTTAATGAATCTGACTTTATTATTTTGCCGAATATAAAAAATTTGCTGTTGGAGTTGTATGGCAGCCACCCGAACCGGTGCAGCTATTCCATTATAAATTTTAGAGCATATGTAGAATATAATTGGACACATGTATACAAAATTTTATATTTATAGCTTTATTAGTTTTTGAAATATTTAAAATAAACTCTTGGAGTTGTATGGCAGCTACCCGAACCCGTTGTCCGACTTAGTCCAATAACAATAGGGTTCGTCCTTGGCACAAAAGAAAAAACTTGTGAAAGTTTGGTGTCGATTGCTTTATTCGTTTTTGAGTTATCGTGCGATCGGACGGACGGACATGTCTAAATCAACGCAGAATTTTACGATGAGCAAGAATATATATATATACGTCCATACCGCAGATGACTCCTTGAAGTAGTTACAAACTCCATACCAAAGTTAATATACGAAGTGCAGGGTATAAAAAATACTCGAAATAAAAATAATAAAAAGTTGGTTAAAAAATTTATGTCTCCTTGGCATTGAGACTCATTATAAAGTTTCCACTTTACTTTCTTAATTGTTTTAAAAACAATTTAAAAAAAACTGAAAGCAGATATAATATTTAAAAAAAAGCAACTAGATAATGTTTTCTTTAAAAATCATTTCGGACACAAACTTAATTAATGAAACTTCATAATAAATCTGCAATTGAAACTACTTGAAAAGGAAATTTTTATTTTCTCTTTTGCCATCTATCCTAGAAAACTTAAATTTCGCTTTTTTGAGAAAAAAATGAAGAAGAAAATAATATTTTATTAAAAATTTTTCAAACAAGTCCAGATTTTTATTTCTTATTTACTCCTTTCATTACTCCTTTAATTTAAAAGTTATGTTGAAATATTTATCGTAAATTAATATAGCCATCTGTTGCATCTATATAATGAAAAATTTACAAAATTTTATCACTTGGACAATATTACTTGGATAATATTAGGGCATATAGAGATAATTACTTACACTTTTGGTTAGGTTGAATTAATTGAAGATGAACTGAGCTGAATTAAAGTAAATTATTTGTTATAAATTAGCAAACTGGATTAAATATGGTTTTAATGAATTTGAAATATTCGAATTTGAAAACATGATTTTAATTTTTGTCATTAATGTCAATGGTCATTTTATATTAGAGGATTGCCAAATTAAAATTAAGTGCTATTTAGCGAAAAAAAAATTCTTGGAAAAAGTGTTTGTATAACAATTTATGTCCCTTTAATTATATATTATGTTTGGTACAATTATAGATGAAATATTTTACATTTTGAAATGAATATGTCCTTGTATTTACATACGTCCGATACATTTTTCGTATAATAATTTTTGATAATTGACAATTAACTAAGTTAAGCGTTTCTAAGTTCAAAGCTACAATTTATTTTCGGTTCCATGTAATTTAATAATATGATAAACTAAAATTCGGAAACTATCTTATCTCTCAATAAAATGGTAGAAAATTTTTTTTTGGAAGAACATGTTTAAATTGCTTCAAATAAATATGATTTTGATTATTATACCTATACGAACGTATGTTCGAAGGGTATACTAAATTTGCCTTACCATTTGTCCGTCCCAACGATAACTCAAAAACTAATTGAGCTAAGTTCACCAAATTTTCGCAAATGATTTATGGTAGTAAGTGCCAGAACCCTATGTAAATTGGACCTGATCGGGGTACCGGTTCTGGTAGCTGCCATAAAACTTCAAAATAAAAGCCGTGGTATTGAAAGTTCACACAAGCGAATATATTAGTAGGGCCAATGTGTTCGATAAAAGTCGTTATAATTTCGTGGCTCTTTCTGGTAGCTGCCATACACAGTACTTTGAAATTTTGCATAAATATGGAAATACGGCAACTTAAAGTCATATTCTGTCCCATATTCAGTTATGGCATACTTATTCGCACATAGGATAACAAATTCGTACGGGTATCACAGAGCTGACAAGGCCAACTTTATTTTTTATCGTAATTTTGCTATAATTTAAGAAATGAATTAAGTAATTACAGGGAATAAAGCATTAAAATACGCTAATAAGTAAAAGAATACTCAGACTAAACAGGCCATGTATTAAAATTTTATATATATTATATGACGCAAGCATTAAATGTTCCGCAATACAATGTTAATTATTAAATAAAATTAATTTAAGGTTAGATTGCATTCCTATATTACTTATGAATTTTACATATACAAAGTAACATTTGAAACTTGATAATAATTCAAAACAAATATTGAATTGGTCAATTCATAATTACGATATGTTATATACATCAAGGATTCTAAAATTG